AGAGGTTTTATTTTGGAAACAGTATCTGTGTGAGCAAAACAATTCTCTCTGAACTTAAAACCCTTGGAGGAATTGGAAATAAATCTTTCAAAATTTCATTGTGAAGATGAATCTTGAAATATACTTCAATAAATAATATGCATGATATTTCAAAGGATAGTACTGAGACTTTTTGACAAATTTTAACTTTCTGAAAATTCCATTTTTTAATGGAATGTCCATGATGGTTCATATGTCTCTGAATGCCATAGCAAGGAGAATAAACTGAGGCAGGTTCTCCTTTAATAATTTAATCCTTCCAAATGAGTTCAAGTGATTTTTAGATATAGATAAAAAATATTAATTCAATAATTTCATTATCAGCATTCCAGTAAGTACTAGAAATAACTTTATTTTTAAACTAGATCTATGGAAATGAGCAAAGCTCATAAAATGAGGACATATTATTTATATTTAAAGTCGATTTCTTTAACTAGTCTAAGGGCAAGCAAGATAAAATGCCTGCTTGAGTTAAATCTTTGATTTATTGAGGCAAATAAAATTAGGGTTCTTTACATTATAATGTTAATGCAGCCAAATTTAAATAGTTATCTTAAACATTTATTATGACTGCTGTATCTGTTAGATAAAACCCATTAATTTCAAGTGCCAATGATATAAGATAGGAAAGTGTGGACACTTCTAGCTGAGGAAAAGATGATTCTAAAACTCAATCACTTTTAATGTGTAGAGGAAAGTGCAAATTAAATTTTGATCTGAAACATTGGTGATTACAACAATCTCATTTTCATTTCCCAGTGCTAGGTACATGATATTGATTCCTCTTGAAATCTGAGGAGATAGAAGCTTAGGGAAATGAGGAGCAACTGAGTTAGCTGTGGTTATTTAGGCTTTAGAAAAGGAGGCTTGGGGGGACCTCACCACTCTTGCAAGTGTCTGAAAAGCGGTTGCAGTCAGGAGGGGTCGTTTTCCTCAGGTAACAAGCAGTGGGACAAGAGGAAGTAAAAGTTTAGACAGAATATCAGAAAAAGTTCTTCACCAAAAGGGTGCTCAAGCATTGGAACAAGCTGCCCAGGGAAATGGGGGAATCACCATCCCTGAAGTCTTCAAAAAATGCATAGATGAGGTGCTTGGGGACATGGAGTGCTGGACCTGGCAGTGTTGATTTAATGGCTGGGCTCAAGATCTTAGGGGTCTTTTCCAGCCTTGGTAAATATACGATTCTATGGCCTTGAGTTAAAGTAAGTCCAGTGTCATTTTGTCAGAGTTATAGCAGGACACACTTTATCCTATTTATTGCATTCAACTGAGATTATATTTTTAGTATGCATAGTTTGTTTTGTTGTGATATTTGCCAGTACAGTTCATAGGTCCTCTTTCTCTAGAAGTTTTGAGGGCTTATATGTTTGCTTTCAATGGCATGTTCTGTCTTACTAAAAGGATTGGAATAAAACTGAATTCCCAAGTAAACCAGAATTGCAAAATGCACCTTCCTTAGATGCATGTCAGGCATCTCTTTTATACAATTTACACAACAGAGTAGCTCACAACTGTAATGAATTCATCTGGAAAGGCCTCTGGGTAAAAGAGCTGTCCTGCCTTTTGATTTTGGCTGTTCACTTTGACATATTTTGGCCACAGACACACAACTGGAAATAAGGATGTGCCTGAACTGCCTGAACTTTAGTAGTAGTCTTGTCATGAATATGCATCACAGTGTGGAGGACCATGATCGTGTCTAAGGAGCTGCCAGTACACCAGGAAGAGGTGCCACACCTCCACTGTGGCACATCCTGTGGGATCCTTTCCAATCATGTTGTCTCCTCTTGCCTCTGGTGTCTTGTAAGTGTACTTAATGTAAGTGGCAAAGGTAAAATAGGATAAGAAAATATTTTCCATGGCTTCACCTTCTTTTTACTACTGTGTTTTTCTCCCAGGTTAAATCAATGAAACAAAATAATAATAAACTATATTTTTAAGCTTTCTACTGAATCATTATCTCAAAGAATTCGTAAGTTCCATTTTGTTTGTCCAAGTGTCCTTTTCAATGGCTGTGATTTCAAAACATGTGGCATAGAAACGTACCATGTTAATGTTCTCCTGCCATGAGCAATGAGTGTTAATTAGAGCTGGATCTGACTTTGTCTCTCCTTGGATTATTTAGGATAGTAAGAGCTCTGCTGAATGCCTGTTTGTACAATCCATCTTTTAATCCACTCTGAGGTAGAAGACTATTCAGAATAAGTTTTGTAATTACTCCAGAGTGTATTTAATTTCTTAGCATCAAAAATAATCTCTTACATTATTAAGCAAAAAAGTTTATTTTCCCCAGAACGGATTTAGCTGTACACACTTACTAAGTGGAAATGATAGTTTTAATTATGGTCAGTGTTCTTCTATTTGATGGCTTTGTTGACAGCACTGTTTTATGTTTGATATTTTAGCATAATATTTTGATGGGAACAGCATATTACATATTTTCTGTAAAGAGTAATGAGTGAAATGATGGAGAAACATCATTTTTGTCCTGTCAAATTGTACGTTAGAGTACTTTTTGACACTTTGCTACTTTTCAGTAGTACTTCAAGTTTACTTTCTCTCTGTTTTATAAAGAATTAAACAGAGTAACCAGACCCTTTCTAAGCAGTACTATATTATGAATAGGTCATCATTTGTGTGCATGACATTCCCAGGTGTTGGATAGATACCCTCATAGATCGATAATTGTTCAAATGTCTCCAGCCAAGCAGACCCATGAAATTATATTTGTTTTGCTTTACTATTAGTGACAGTCAATTATTTGAGTACAAAAGAATTGAGTAATAAAACCCCCTAAGTCTCCACTGGGATCAGATTTTACCCACATGACATTTTTAGATGTTTTTCTGTAGGAAATGTCTGGACTGTAAATGTGTGCCTGCATAACTTATCCAGTTGAATCAATCCTATGGGACCTAGAGGTAAATGTATTAGACTAGTGGGACAGGAGACTTCTTATTTTGCAGGTTCTTAAAATGATCCTTGATTAGGACTACCTTGCAGGACTGTAATGCAAATAAAATAATTAACATTATTTTTTTAAATTTTAGGCTAAACAACCATAGCACTGAAGGTAGATGTTTTATTTTTTAATGTCTGACATAATAATTCTTGTTATAGAAAAAAGAAATCTGTTGCTCATGCATGTCTTTTGCTCAGACAATAAGTTTCAGTTAAAAGGTAGCTGATCTTTGCATCAAAGATCAAAGTTTTAAATTTTAAATTTCCCTTGCTAATTAATGAAAACTCTTCCCCCATTCCTTTTGACTTAAAACCTATGTTATGTTACAATGGATTTGTTAGCCTTGTTAATTTTTAAGTATAGGGAAATGGTTTCCATTGCACTTTGTTTTGTTGAAAGAGAAAATCAGCTAAATTTTGATTCATAAGGAGTACGTCTAGGCAGATCCTAGAGTTGGAATATTGAAATAGTTATGAATTGTTATAAAGTGCACCAGGTCTCAGATACTCAGATATATAAAAAATACTGCATTGTCATGTTTGAAATACATTCCTCCTTCAAGTATTACATACAAAGTGCTCCTCTGCAGTTTGTTTACGTGGTCTAAAACTTCCCTCCCTCATTGTTCCCCCCGTCTTTCACAGTCCTGACTTTGGCAGTGTTAAAGCTCTTCCTCCAAGAGCACTGTGCAGGAGCGGGGATGCAACTGCCACAAGTAATTTTAGACAGGTTCTCTTTAATATGAGTCTAAACTAATGCAGTTCACAGGTTAGGCCAACGTTGTGGCCCTGTTAAAGGAAAGTATCCTTAAGAGGCTCTGATCTCCTCCTCCACTCCTTACACTTACGCACAATAGGATTTGCCATCCTGTTGTTTCTTAGGTTTTTCTTGCCACAGGCTTTGGGGTCACCCCCTCCTGCAGCTCGCAGACAGTACATGAGTTTTGGAGTCTGCAACCAGGGATGTCTCAAAACTTCATCTATGCACAGCCTCTGAGACACATCAGGGTGCAGCAAGTAGACAATGAGGTTCTTGCACTCTGCAGAGAGATTTTTTGACTTGATGAAGGGAATCTTCTGTTGTTTCTGAACCTGCAGCATTTCCCTTACATTGGAACTATCAAATGGCTGTGAAGCAAAAAGCATTGCATACAGGATAATGCCCAGGCTCCACATGTCTGAAATCCTGGGGTCACAAGGAATGTGCTCGAGCAGTTCGGGGGCCGAGTACGCAAGAGACCCGCAGAAGGTGGTGCTGAGAATGGTTTTTCCATTTCCATCCCGAGTCAGGGGTTTTGAAAAGCCAAAGTCTGACAGCTTTAAGTTAAGATCATTGTCAAGAAGGATGTTGTCACATTTCAGGTCTCTGTGGGCAAAGTCCAAGTCATGGCAATGCTTGATGGCAGAAGCCAGCTGCTGGAACTTGCTGCAAGCAGTGCTCTCTTCCATTGCACCCTGGTTGGTGAGGTAGTTCAGGAGGCTCCCCTTTTCTCCCAGCTCCATCACGATGTACACTTTCCCAGATGATGTCTCAAAAATCTCATAAGTTTCAATGATTGAGGGGTGGTGCAGTCGCATCAAAGCCTCCATTTCCCTGGGGAGAAATTTTTCCAGGACATTTTGAGAAATTTTCTTCTTATCAATGATCTTGATGGCCACTTTGCATTTCAGGCGGTGGCTGTAGGCAGCTTTCACTTTGCCGTAGGAGCCTTCTCCAAGAGTGTCACCAAGGCTGTAGCCCTTCTTTTTAAGCACCACAGCATCCATCCTGGGAGAGCTGCAGGGACCTGCCCCAGCGGGAGCTGCTCTGCATCCTGTGCTGGTGGGCTGTGCTCCACACCTGGTGGTGGCTGCCGGGGACACTGCTGGGCTGGGTGTGTGGGTGGTTACTGGGTGATCTCATGGCCAGCTGCCCTGGAATGATCTTTCTGTCCTGAAGGATCTTTCATGGAACTGCTCTGTGACATCATGGAGGCCAAAACAGCATGGAGGCACTGGCTGCTCTGTGCTGTCACTGAAGGTCGCCTCTGCACATTGCAGTCAGAAAATGGAGATAATTTCTCTAGGATATATTTCTCTAAGGTGGTCAAAGTAGGAGGATGATTTTTATATCTTAGTTTTGCAATGCTGTTTTTCAGTTGTGCTGTTGCTATACTTCATTACTACAATATACTGTGTGTTTTTGGTGGATTTTTGGAAAAGAACAAAAAACACCTGAGGATTGAGACTTTGTGGAGCAATGCACAATGCATTCAATAACTTTTATTATTTTTTTTTTTGGTGGTATGATAGATCCTGGTTTTCTGGTAAGTGCTGTTTGTTGAATTTGATTGCAACAACAACTGACCAGCCTGAGTCTTCCAGGGAGTACCAGGGAGTCCCACCAGTTCAGTGTTTTGTGTCAGTATTGCTATGAGAGTTCTAGAAGTCTGCTCCTTATTTCAGAAGAAAATAATTGTATGGAGATTCAAACTTGCCACTACAGATAATCTCCCTGTATATACACCTTTCTTTCCTTGCTTTTAGAACGTAGTTCTAGTAAACTTCCCAAGAAATTGTAGAGAAAATTTAATTTTTATTAGCCACAATAACATTGCAGGGTACAGCCACATAACCAGATTAAAGAATTGAAAATCACAGAAAACTGCAATCAGTTTCAAAAAAAACCTAAAAAATTTGTATTTCTGTTCTTTGATCTTAGGTAAAATACTCTGAGTTGATTTCAAACTGAATTTCAAACAGAATTTCAAACAAAATTCTTTGAAAATGAAGATTTTATTCTAGAGTCTCTAAGATTACTATAAATGTGAATAAACCAGAAAGTTAAACTGTAAGTCTGGAATGATAGTAGTTCTCAAGGGATTAAACCTTTTTTTTTCCCATATTAAGTGGTGCATGCATTTATTGCATCAAGTCTTTTGTTTTGAGTTCAAGGAGGATTTGCAGTGGATATTTAGCACATGCTACTCTGCATATTTTTTCTGGGGAAGGGGGAAAGAGCAGCTCCCTGATGTTATGCAAATTTTCTTAAGGGCATGGAAAATTTCAAATTATAGGTGTAACTATTCAGCATCATCCCTTTGTCTGTCCTGAAAGTACAGCCAATTTCTGAGCTGTAAGAGGGAAGGCATAAACCATTGTGATGATATTGGAAAGACTGAAGAAGAAAATCTTTAAAATACATGCAAGAATGCATAAAGATTTATAGTGGACTATTATATGTGCTTGTTTCCAGGACATTAATTTAATTGTTTCTTTTCCGTTGTAAATAAAAATATGGCCTTGTATTAAATGTTGGATAGCCTCATATCACTTACTCATGCTTAAAACCACTCCCAACTTTTAGTGTAGATGGCTAATCTTCATGTCAGCCTGTTAATTATTTAGGAAATCTGTTTTGCATTTTCTGCCTGTTGTTTGTGTATCTTTTTATAGTCATTCTTTTAAAATTTATATAAAGGAATACAGAAAAGTTAGTTATGGTGTAATTGTTAAACAGAGATTTTCACCAGAGCTGTGTGGCAGTGTTAACAGAATACTACTAGTCTTTTTGTTTTTACAGTCATTTAAGGAATTGATCATGTTTTGGTGGGAATGCTCATATTTTTACTATTAATATAAATTAATACAAAATTGAGTGTCAAATCCGAGTGTATCAACTTATGCATATTTTTTTTTGAGTAATTGACTGCTGATGTTGTTACAGGCAATGAATCTGGAGAGTGGCAGGTATTTGTTCCCTGCTCTGTAAAATCAGTCATAAGGTCACTATAGAACCAATGGATTAAGAAAGAGGATCTATGCTCAGCAAAGCAATTAATTCCTTCAATGTTAATGCAGTTAAACATATTCAAAATCTAAGTGAGAAGTCAGCTCTATTATCAGTGTCAGAAATACATTTTTGTCTCTGTTGGTGCTAATATAAGAATTTCTTTAGTTAAAGCAGCTTGTTGGTGTTTAATTAGAATTTTGAATTATACTTAGAATCATCAATATTAACAAATTTACCAAATTGATGTAGAGTTTGTTTTTTGGTTTTTTTTCTGGTGTCCATCTGTGTCAGTTGCAAATGTAATAGACTCAGGGCTTTAATGATGCAAATTAAATTTTCCAGTGAGAGAAATGCCAATATAGGCCAAGAATTAATTCTGAATCCAAAGGGGGAAGAGCAAACTATTAATTCATTACATCTGGCAGAAGCAATTCAGTAGTTTCCTGTCTAGTTACTTTAGTTATATTTATTCTTAAAAAAACAAAGGAAAACCTTCCTTCCTGTACATGTTGTGCACATGGAGTTTCTGGACTCAGGCCTCAGACAGACCCGTTTGTTGCTTTCTTTATTTTTCTTGCTCAGCTATCATCTCCTTTCACAAACTCTAAGGTCAGGTCGTCACCTGAGAGCACCTGAGAGTGAGCACTGAAATCTCCACTGCATCATTGTAGCTGCAGTGCCTCCAAAATCATGTGCTTAACGCTGGATCAGAGTTCAGTACAACAGGAACTGAATGGCACACTGATAGTGAGGAGAATAGCTAGGAGGTAGAAACATTTTAAGCCCTGGATGAGTATTTCTTTGCATGCTAAGTCTTCTGGCAAATGATTTTTTTTTTGTTGTTGTTGTACAGAACCATTTTATAAAAATGGGGTATCTGGAGCATATTTTTTTCTGGAATGGAATTCATGATGGAAGGCAAGGGTCCAAGCTACCAGGACCTCACCTCCACACAACCTTAAGTCCGCTTTTTAAAAAAACCTTCTATTTTCTTTTCCTTTTTTTTTTTTTTTTATCAGAAAACTGCCTTTGAAGTTTATTGATTATGCTGATAATACATTTTAAAAATAATATTTATGCTGGTTTTACCTGTGATGGAGTAAATTTTCTTCATAGTGGCTGGTATGGGCCTATGTTTTGGATTTCTGTTGATAATTCAGGGCTGTTTTTATTATCACTCAGCAGTTCTCACCCAGAGCCAAGGCCTTTCCTGCTCCTCACCCACCCCACCAGCAAGAGGCTCCACGAGGAGCTGGGAGGGGACACAGCCAGGACAGCTGACCCCAGCTGACCCAGGGGATATCCCAGCCCATATGGCACCATGCCCAGCATATAGAGCTGGGGAGAGGGAGGAAGAGGGGAGATTTGGAGTGATGGTGTTTGTCTTCCCAAGTCACTGTTACAGGTGATGGAGCCCTGCTGTCCTGGGGATGGCTGAGCCCCTCCCTGCCGTGGGAAATGGGGAATGAATTCCTTGGTTTGCCTTTCTTGTGCACGTGGCTTTTGCTTTACCTGATAAACTGCCTTTATCTAAATGCACGTGTTTTCTTACTTTTATTCACTCCCCAGTGCAGCAGGGTAAAGTGAGACAGAGGCTGTGTGGGGCTCAGTTACCATCTGGGGTTTAACCATCAGAGTGTTTAAAGTATTTTCCAGCATTACGAGAATTAGGTATTGATTTTTACTATTTATGATTTCTTTTCACAGAGAATTCACAACACATTTGTCCTAGTTTTGTAATATGAAAGGGTTATCACACAAAAAATTTAATGGACTTTTTTAGAGTATTTTCAAGGAAAGTACTCTGCTGGCATCAAATTCTTTCTTTGCAATTTCCTGGAATATTTATCAATGTCTGAAGGAACTCTAAAATTTGATTTATTTGTATAAAATATCTCTGGAGATAAAAACTTTGGATTGACTTTTAATTCCAACCTTGTATGTGTGGGTTTTTTGTTCCTAAATTGCAAGATCTTATGTGCAAGTCCAAATGTGGAATTGCAATGTGTGGTGTGACTTCTCCATGGCTTTCTGTTCTCTGTGTTGTAGGAGAGCAGGAGTTGCTGATACTCATGTGAAAATGTTAACATCCTGATGATAACAGCTCTGCCAAAGCCATTCACCATATTTTGCCTAAGTCTGGCAAGAATGGGGGAACTGAAAAGCAAATTGCTAATCTTAGTGAGGGGAACAGGTTTTTTTGGTTACCCAAAGGTGAGTCTTGGGTCAGAATTAGGGATGAGTTGAAATCCTTTTATGTCCTTCTCCACTCTGTGGACTTGGATGAAATGGATGTTTTTCTCTGGATTGACAAGAGCTTATGTTCTAAAACCTATCAAAATAGTTTCCCACAATAAAAGTTCAGTGAATTAAGATATCAAAAACAATAAAAAAAAAATTCAAGCAATTATCAAACATCTTTGTGTTTTAGGTTTGTCATTCACAAGTGTAAGAACACTTGAAAAGTCCTTTTTTAAATTTCCTTAATATTTTGAATATGAATACACTTCTTTGAACAAGTACATGCTGTGACTATCAAGTGTGAAAATAGTCCAGGTTTCATAAGAACATTGCATGAAAACAATGAGAACAGACTGTTTCTGTGAAATAGTCACAGGTATTGACCACTGCTTGGGCAACATTTTCTTCAAAGTATGTAAGGGCATTTTTAGGCATTTAAATTAAATAAACCAGTTTAATTAAAAATAAATCCCACATGCTGGATGAAGTACATGGCTGCTTGGGTGGTAATTCTTCTAGGTTTTCATTCTATACAGAATTTAAGAAATCCTGCCTTACCTGTCATGAAATCCTTTTGTGTCAGAGTCAGCCTACATGAGGAGATAAACAGATGGTATAACTGAGAGCACACAAAATGCTAGTTTAGGTAAAATGCACGCTGCTGATAACCCACTAAGCCTTCCTGGGTATGCTAATCCTAATTTATGTTAAATTGTAATTAAGACAGTTTTGTTTATTGCTTGTAGCCATGAGCACCTGGAAGACTGACTAATCCCATCCATGTGCTGGGGACAATCCAGCTGCTATTATTAACTCAAAATGCAGAAAAATTTGTATTTGTGAGTTGTTTTCATTGGTATTTTTTTCAGGCATTTATAGAGGCCCTTCTCCCCATTGTGTCAGGAACCGGAACAGAAGCAGCATCCTAAGTAAAATGGATAAAGGGATTTTTGGAGCAAGAGGCCAAAATCTAAATAGGCTCCCTGTGTTTCCAGCCAAACTTCAAATCAGAATATCTCTGATATACCCATGCAAAAATAGATTCAAAACTTCTGTTGTAGCTGTGCCTCGATTTGGTGTTGCACATATAATTAGACATAATTGTCAGATTTTCAGGATTCTGAAGGGAATTCAGGAGACCATGTGTGGTACCATTAAAGTGAAATGATAAGTGATGGGCAGAGGAAAAGGAACAGCATTGACTGAATCACAGGAGAATAAAGCCATAGGAATGGGGAACATCAAATCCCACTTACTTTAAAATTTCATGTTTTCAGTTGCATCCTTTTTCTTATTACATGTGTTCTTACAAATGTTGCTGTATATATATGTTACATATACAGTATATGCATATGTATATGTATATGTATCAGTTACAGATTTTTGACCTGATACATGTATTGACACAATTACATCTATCATGGTTTGTGCCATTAGTTGACAAGAATTGTTTCTTGTTTAGCATTTCTTCTTAAAATATAGGTAGGAGAACCCAGGTCAATATAAAATTTTACTTATAAAGATTTTTCCCTTTAGAAGAATTCCTGCCCTGGAAGTGTATTCATTCTAATGACTTCTAATCATCCAATTTAAAAATCATACAAGAATGGTAATGTTCTTCATCTTCAATTATTAAATCTTTGGGCTTTTTATGCTTAAAAGTTTCATTTTCTGCCTTGTCATGATAGAAAATATGCAAACTACTGTTAAGTGACAGCTATTTTCTCTGTACTATTTTTGAAGTCAGCCCATGCAGAGATCACTTGCAGTGTGGAAATTTGGACCTAATTATCTATTCATTACATACTGAAAAGTATTTGTTGAATGAATTTTTCATCAGGTCGTGGTAAAACAGAAATAAAGAATTAAGGACTAAAGGTGAGCATGAAATCATAGTTTGTACACAATTGTACATATAGTTTGTATTCTCAAAATTCAAGTGTGAGTGCAACTGCTTTGCAAAACCCTCTGATTCTTCTCAAGTTTAACTCATGCTATCTACAATTACATGGATCTTCTTGCCAGTTACAATTAGATTTTATTTTTGTAAGAAACTAAAAACAGAAATTAAAAATTTGCAGTGTGCATACGTTTGTTATAGAGCCTAAAATGAATGCCATATCTGTAATAATTTCATGTGGATTCTTCTTATGGACAGCAGAGAGCAGCAGTGTGATGACCTGAATCAGAAGGAATAATGTTAAGGAATACTGAAACTAACTAACAAGTTAAATGCTTCCAAAAACCCCTAATTATTACCTTGTACTACATTGATACTGGTGCAATTCTTTTTTGAGAGACTTATGCAAATGAAATTGGGAGATTGTTAAAAAAAAAAAGAAATTTCCAATAAAGTAACTATTATGAAAATAATTGTCAAAGAAAGTGTTTACATACAGTAAAACAAGTGACAGCCGAGGGTGGGTAACTAATTAAGGGAAATGAAGGATTAGTGTCTGAGCTGTGTTTAGAACTGTCCAAAATGATGATATAGAGCAAAAGACAAACATTAGCTCACAGACTATAGTTTAAAGAAAAAATTTACTTGAATGTATTTTTAATAGTCTGGAAGTTGGTAAACTCAATAACATGCATTTTAGGAAATCATTAACTGTGTCTACAGGTAATTTGCAAGTCAGTATTTTTGTTCATCTTGGGAGTTCATGGGTACAGATCAAACCACATTAAATTATTCAGGGTAGAAGTCATCATGTACAATCTGAAATACTGTTTCTAAGGACTTGAAAATAGTTTTCTCATGTGTCCCACTCCATCTGATATTTTAGCTCAAACCCCAAATTTGCAATTTTGGATATTTTTACAAGTGACTGTGTTTTACTCTCCGTTATTTTCCATAGTAAAAACAGGATGTAGACTCTGGTGGGTAATGAACAGATATAAATACCTGTGAGTCAGATAAATTATGCTGTGTCCCTTCATTCCAGGGAAGCTGTACCCTGAAGGATGTAAGCAGATGCTGTTGCCCTGGTGATTGCTCGTTGGAGTCTGGATTGCACTGGGCCTGCATTCCTGACTTCTCCTTAGGCCCTTGCATTTCTGTAGACAGCTCATATGGACAAAGGCCACAAATTAAATGCAAAGAAATGAAACAGCAAGTATAGAGCATGAATGTGATGTGTTGAAAACAGAATATGGTTTATAAGGAGTGTCACAGTGTTGATTATCTTAATATACAAGTAAACATAGATGCACAAAATTTCTGCCAAGCTGATTTGGGGGCCTGAATTTTTCTGTCCCATCTGAGACAGAAGAGTGGCATTTTCTGATGGTTCAGTTGTTGAGGTGGCTAAGTGCAAACGTTTTTTTGCTCTTTTATTTTTTTCCCTGTCTCTCTTTGCTACTTTTGGCCCCAAGACCTGATCTGAAGTGCACTGAATTAAAAATAAAACCTGCTCCATTCCATAAGTTATCCTCAGAACTCAGAAAAAAAATACTATTAAGCATGAAATTTTTATTATTTGAATTTTTTTCAGTATTTTTCCCTCATAATGAAACAGGCTTCATTTTGAAAGCGGTATTCAGATTTATTTGTATTCTTGATTTTTGTTTTACAAAGGTTTTGATAATACAGATTGTTCTTTATGTCTTTGTGACCCTCATTTTTTGAGCTTTGTGTACTTATTATAGCATGTTTCTAAGATTCTCCCCTTCAGAGAACCTTAACATTTCTTGAACCTGAAATCATTACTGAAATTCTAGAATAAACTGTTATGCAATAAGTTGCTCTTCAAACATATCAGATCCTGAAATTTTTTACTTCACTATTATGTAATTTCATTCTCTCATGCCAATTCTTTGAGCTTCTATCTCCCTCACATTAGCTGATAATACAGAAAATTTAAACCATATGTAGAAAATCAATAATTAAATAATCTTGGATCGGCCTTCTTCTCTCTCAAATCCTGCAGTCACTGCATCAGGAGAGAATATTGAGCATAATACTTTCAATACATTGACTGAGCACATATGTTAACACCTGCTTCTATCAGATGTCAGAATTCAGAATCACTTTCTGATAGAGATTATTATAAAATAAGAATTATTAACTATTTTTAGCCATTTGTAGACCTGATTTGACTGGTAGACCTGAATGATTTAAGGTCAATAACAGTGCAATTCCTGATCAGTTTGGTGTATAACACCTTGTTTTGTTCAAATTCTTGTTGACTGCATTAAGGGGAGAACAAATTTCTAATTGGCCCTCTGTGATATAAGTAATTCAGTGTTCCTGAAACCACAATAGGCTTTTATTGCCAAGTGGGGTTTGGGAGATGTTGAGCTTTCAGATAAAATTAAAATTATGAGGATAGATAGATTTTTCTTATTTCTCCTTTTATTTTGTCCTTTCTCTAATTGCTTCTTGGACTTCTGTGCAGTTTCATTCATTGATGAATAATGTTTATATGGAATAAAGGCCTGTAGCTGCAAGGTTATTTCTAGGAAGCGTTATAATTGCATATAACTGCTAGCATTATCAACTAGATTTTCTCAGTGTCTTTTCTGCCATTTTTAACATTAAATCACCTTTTAAATCATAAGCTTCCAAATTGCCAGAAAACAGGAAGTATAACTAAATGTCTCTTAAGACAGTGATGGAAAAATAAATTAAATTCCATTTAAACTGTACTTTATTACATGTGTTTCTGTGTATCTACTGTCTTTCATGAGAGGGAAGGTCAAGGTATTGGTAAAATTCCATAATGTTTGCAATGGAGCTTGCACATTCTTAAATTCTTTTGTGATGTTTGTAACTTTTTCTTCTGTTTCAATTCTGCTTCACTTCTCCCACCTTGGATTTCTCGGTCTCCTCTGAGCTGAGCTCCTTTGGAATTTCCCTCACGGGGAGTTCTGTTTATCTCAGTTCTCCAGTCAGGAAGAAAACTCCAAAGCTCGTTAGGATCTTGTTTCTTGTATTTATTAGGATGTTATCACAAAACCTGGCAGGCCTTTCCAGACTTTCTGCACAAGTTTAATTTATTGCAACCTGGCACATTTTGGCTCTAACGGCTCAAAATGGCCTCGAACGACACAGTTTCCTTGTCTTTATACTCATTCTTATCCAGTTAACAATATACATGTAAATTATTTTTCTTAATGATCCAATGAGGTATCAGTACTGTGTGCTGCACTGTGGCATTTTCTATCCAATCGCTTACTACCACCCAAAAACCTCTAGAAGAAGAAGATGAAGAAGAAATATCAAGGACAAGAGACAACACCCTAAATCCTTCATCTTGTCTTCTATTTTCTAAACTAGTTTAAACTCTAACTTTTTCACCCAGTGACTTAAGAAAACTTTCTAATTTACACACTCACACTTTTAGCTTTTCTATTTAACTTTAACAGTTGTTTTCATGTAACAACATGAAAACATGCCCATAAATTTAATGTTATATGAAATTCAGTGTTCTCCTGGATCTCAGAGCCAGGCATCAGAGACAAGGGCACACAGTCTGTGTCTCAGACTCCAACAATGTTTTGAAGATCAAAGGAAAAGTACCCAAAAAGCAAAACCCCCAAATTAAATTTGCTAAATGGAAAACAAAATCCACACTAAGGCAAAAGCCTCTCTTCCAGGGTATCAGGTTTCCTATGATGTATGTGAGGATACTGTGGATGTTGGGTAACTTTGGGGAATACCATGTTACCTCCCTGGCTGTTAGGATGGCAAATCAAATCTCTCTGGGCAGAATTCAGCTGTGTCTCAATGTGTCTAAAATCAAGAGAAAACACAGAAACAGTTACACCTAATTTGTCACAACTGTTGTTTAAGTGATTTCACTACAGTAATTATTGCCTAATATCAGCATTCTTTCTCTAATACACATCTTCTGTCACTTAACTCACTATTAGGGGATAATTATTCCAATGGAACCATCACTTGTGCAGACTTGGTCCAGTAGTATAGTAATAAAGAAATCAAAATAGACTTTTAAAGTATTCTTAATTCCCTTTGAATCATAGCAAATGCTTAAAGCAGTCTGTAGATAGATTTTTGGTGTGTATTTGTAGTTGCAATATTTCTTTCTAAATCAGAAGCACAGGAAGAATCTAAGAAATGAGGGACAAAAAGGACTGAATAAATTATATGACAGTGTGTTGTAAAAGTATATTTTCTATTTTGTCACTGCTGATATCCTTCTGGTCAATAGCATATTCCTGATCAACAAGTTCCCAAATTTTGTTTTATATTTTAATGTGTTGACTGATTTTTCTTCAAACTCATTTCTGTAGTAGGTGTTAGCTAATTGGTTTTTAGCTTTAGAAAGAGCTAAGCTTCTTTTCAGGAGACAGCAACTAATGTAGTTCTTTTATTTTGCACTACAAAGCTGTGTGATGATATCAAAAGTGTAGCAGGGAGCTGAGGCTGGTTCTGCTGTGACAGTGACCTTCTGACTTTTTCCCTGCAAAACTGAACCAGACTTTATGATCAAGTTTGGTACCGGGTTTTTTGACACAGCAGAGTAAGTACCCCAAAATCACTTTGACATTTCCTAATGATCATGTTAATGATATTTTTTTTTTTTTTTAAAGTTATGCTCTGGTTCTTTGGAGATATTTACAATATTGCATACAAATGATGTAATAATTTTGTCAGTCAAAGACTGAGTTAATTGAAAAACCTCTGTATTGTCCTTGAAATGCAAGAGCTTCTTCATATCTATTGAGGTCTCACAGTGGAACCATAATTGTGAGTAACCCAGAGAATACAGGGGAAGAACAATGACTTTAGACAGGAATTGTGAAAGTAGCATAATAGAAGCCAATTCAAGCTAATGAGATTTTTATTAAGAGGTAAAGCAAATTGAACTTCTCCTGCCAGTTGGCTTTTGGATGACGGTATTAACTACCGTGTTTTGGCCATTGCAGGACTAGTTTTCCTGGTGGACCCAGAAATAGTTCTGTTCCTTCAGAACTGACATTTTCCATTAAGTATTCTGCTTTACCCTCTATCTGCCTGGATGAGACTGCACTTGCTTTGTAAATGGAAAAGCTTATTGAAGGCAATGGGAGCCTTGGCACCAGCATGGTTGTTCTAACTGTTTATTGGTGTAGTGCATTAAGAAGAGTAAGACATACAGAATTCACAGAGCTAATTTAGGACCTATTCTACCTTTTCTTATTGTGTCTGTGTCATGCTCTTCTCAAAATCACTGAGATATTTTAATATAAATTCAATGCTGTGTGAAACCTTTTCCTTGTGCTAAGGCCATCAAGTCTTACCATCACTTTATGATGTTTATTCTGCTTTACTGCTAACATGCTGCTGAACTGTAAACAAATATAAACAAGGTTATCAGGCAAAATGCATTAACATAAACATTTTAGTACAATGCTCTTTCTACGTCTTCAAATGGACTCAGGATTTCAATGAAACATTAACTCTTACAAGTAAAACAGAAGATTTATTCTGTTTGTTCAGTAATATTATCCCAGTATTAGACTATGGAGTGTGTATTTTTCTATGTTCAACCTTTGAAAAGTGGAAAGCCCCAGTGTTCATCAAAAATTTTTGTGCTAACCTAAGAATTTAAAAGGCAAGTTAAAATTTTTGACTTGGCCTACATGACTTGAAAATAAAGCATCTTGTAAAAATGAAGTAGCAACTTTGATCCTGTTGGGAGAGGGACAGAAATCAGTGGGCATCTTGAATATTTTTGTGGCATTCAAAAGAAAAGTATCTGAATTCCATTCTAGTTCACATGAAATTTCATTAATATGTAAAATATTTTTTAATATTAGAAATTGGAATAAACAATCTACCTTTGCATTGTTGTGCATACAGGAAAGGAATTCTGGCACTCAGAAATAGAGTGAAAAGTAAACAATGTGGCAGAGAAGTATTTCCCACATTTTTTTAGATTTCATGAGTAAAGTCAATAGAGAAGTGACTTTAATAGGTACAGGTTTCTAAAGGACAATAAGAAATTTAAATATTTCCATGACATGATATTCTAGGCCAGATGATGCTACAAGCACTGATCAGTGGCTTGCAATTAAAAAAAAGTTACCTGTATTCTTACACCTATCAAGATGCTGAGGGAATTCTGAATATCTTTTTATACCTTATTGTGATAGATGTAGCT